AGGTACTACTGTAAGGTACTACTGTAAGGTACTACTGTAAGGTACTACTGTAAGGTACTACTGTAAGGTACTACTGTAAGGTACTACTGTAAGGTACTACTGCAAGGTACTACTGTAAGGTACTACTGTAAGGTACTACTGTAAGGTACTACTGCAAGGTACTACTGTAAGGTACTACTGCAAGGTACTACTGTAAGGTACTACTGTAAGGTACTACTGTAAGGTACTACTGTAAGGTACTACTGTAAGGTACTACTGTAAGGTACTACTGTAAGGTACTACTGTAAGGTACTACTGTAAGGTACTACTGTAAGGTACTACTGTAAGGTACTACTGTAAGGTACTACTGTAAGGTACTACTGTAAAGTGTAAGGTACTACTGTAAGGTACTACTGTAAGGTACTACTGTAAGGTACTACTGTAAGGTACTACTGTAAGGTACTACTGTAAGGTACTACTGTAAGGTACTACTGTAAGGTACTACTGTAAGGTACTACTGTAAGGTACTACTGTAAGGTACTACTGTAAGGTACTACTGTAAGGTACTACTGTAAGGTACTACTGTAAGGTACTACTGTAAGGTACTACTGTAAGGAACTACTGTAAGGTACTACTGTAAGGTACTACTGTAAGGTACTACTGTAAGGTTCTACTGTAAGGTACTACTGTAAGGTACTACTGTAAGGTAGGACTTGGCTCTACGAACTCAAATTATCCTTTTCATGTGTTTCTCTACTAGATAAAAAGAGCCTCACGCCGACAAACAAAGAGTTAAATAATTTATTAAAAAGGATTACAGACCCTGATCATTAGTAAAGATATAAAAACAACCTGAACTGTTTTTGGAGCAAGCCAGCCAGACATTGTTGCGGTGAGAGCAATTCTCTCTCGCCATCTTAAAGTTACACTTAAACAAACTCTCGGCACTCTTTATACAATCGTCCAGCTTCGTAGGAAACAAGTTGTTTTTCAACCATGTTCTGGAGGAAATTCAAACATTACGTGTTTATAGTAAACGATATCACTGTAAGCATCACACTGTAAGCATTATACTGTAAGCATTACACTGTTAGAACTGTAAGCATCACACTGAGTATTATACTGTAAGCACTGTAAGCACTGTAAGCATTATACTGTAAGCATTACACTGTAAGCACTGTAAGCATTACGCTATTGTCGCAACGAATACTAACTTACTAAACTTAAATCAGATTTGAGTTGGAAGACACTTAGTGACTTACTCAGAAACATATTTGAAGTTTCCAGGGTAACTGCCCCATTTGCCGGTTTCGTATCCAAGATGGTGACAAAAGAGGTTCGCTTTCCACCAGCTGAAATTACTCGCACAAATGCTGCCATTCTTTTTGTCACCATTTTCACTAGAGAGGCTGATCATCAATACGCCTTTATTTCCTTTCACTATCTCATGGTCGCCAGACTCCTCAATCAATGCAACTTCGGTCAACTTCCAATCTGGAAATCAATTTTTTAATTAAATACTTTTAAAATTTTACAGAGTACAACAATAAATGATGGATATACAATATACATTGAATATATTATATTGAAACTATGTGCTTTTCAATCTTCAGAGTTCAACTGGTCACAGTAACAGATGCTTATAAAAACGTATCGTATAATTTATGTTTTAAGAATATAAGTAATATTGATGTTTTGATTCATTAAAAACTGAACCACTAACAACTATCAATCTGAAGTTAACTCACCCACATCCACCCACTCGCCCCTAACAGCATGGCAGCATAGAAACAGAAGTTTGAAAATCAGGAGGCTTGTAGCGAATCCCATTCCTTTCAATTTTCAAACTGAACTTGGCAATTTTATCAAATGATGCTGAGTATAACTGAGTAACTGACTAACTTCCTACTTTTTATAACTACCACCACGTACTTAACTACACAGTTAGTACACTGTAGTACTAAGTACACTATAGTACTAAGTACACTGTAGTACTACGTACACTGTAGTACTAAGTACACTGTAGTACTACGTACACTGTAGTACTACGTACACTGTAGTACTAAGTACACTGTAGTACTAAGTACACTGTAGTACTAAGTACACTGTAGTACTACGTACACTGTAGTACTAAATACACTGTAGTACTAAGTACACTGTAGTACTACGTACACTGTAGTACTAAGTACACTGTAGCACTAAGTACACTGTAGTACTAAGTACACTGTAGTACTAAGTACACTGTAGTACTAAGTGCACTGTATTACTAAGTACACTGTAGTACTAAGTGCACTGTACTTGTAGTACTAAGTACACTGTAGTACTAAGTACACTGTAGTACTAAGTACACTATAGTACTAAGTACACTGTAGTACTAAGTACACTGTAGTACTAAGTACACTGTAGTACTAAGTACACTGTAGTACTAAGTACACTGTAGTACTACGTACACTGTAGTACTAAGTACACTGTAGTACTACGTACACTGTAGTACTAAGTACACTGTAGTACTAAGTACACTGTAGTACTAAGTACACTGTAGTACTAAGTACACTGTAGTACTAAGTACACTGTAGTACTACGTACACTGTAGTACTAAGTACACTGTAGTACTACGTACACTGTAGTACTAAGTACACTGTAGTACTAAGTACACTGTAGTACTAAGTACACTGTAGTACTAAGTACACTGTAGTACTAAGTGCACTGTAGTACTAAGTACACTGTAGTACTAAGTACACTGTAGTACTAAGTACACTGTAGTACTAAGTACACTGTAGTACTACGTACACTGTAGTACTAAGTACACTGTCGTTATAAGTACACTGTAGCACTAAGTACACTGTAGCACTAAGTACACTGTAGTAGTGTCAAGATGCACAATGACTTGGCACCTTAGTTAAGAAATTTGGCCTGAAGCTTAGTCTCTAGATATGAACGACTCTGAGCAGTACAGGTACTTAAAATTTGACGAAGGAATTGGCTTGCAATAATTTGCTCTAAATTCTCAAAAGTGTATTATATATAATATACAGTGTATAATAGTGTTTAGAGTCTTGAATAACAAGTAAAAGCTGACTATCATAATTAAATAAATAATCAAATAAAAGTTCTAAACAAGGGGTATAGTAGTTAAAAACGACGCGGCCAAGTCTAATCTTTCCTTAATCTTAATATTAGGAAATTTATTTAATAAAACAAATTACCCTAATATATAAAACAAATAACTTAATCATTAATGTCAAAACTTCACTGTAGTTTTTGCCAATATTTCTTGTCATAATGATAAACTAAATTACGGAAATAGTAGAGAAAAAGAGAAATAAATGAAAGTCCAGCTAAACTAGTTCAATTTGTACCCCCTCCACAGCCACATTACTTATTAATTATTAAGCTCCCCCATTGTTTTATCAAGTGTTTTTTCAGCCTGCTGAACGTTAGCTGACTAAGTCTCACGGTACGTAATAACTGAACCATTTCCCTTTATTGTTGAAATCATTATATAACTGTAACGACAAATGATTTGCCTGAATTGAGGTGTTTAGAATTACAGTCCTATATATTTCTTTTTTAAATCTCTAATCTATGTATCATCAAATTACACTTTACCAACGCGACTCGATCATTATTATGATGCCAAAACAATATTTTTTGTTTTATAATTCAATTCAAAATTTTGAATTATGAACGTAAATTTTATGTAGAAAAATGACGAGAAGATTCGACGCTAAGAAAAAAAATTATGGCCCTAGCTATAGATGATTGGTAACCAACAAAAATGGTTGGTATAAATTGTAACGTCGCTAACATTAACAGATGGTTGGTGATGCACTGATTACAGTTCTCCAGCCTCTTAGCCTCATATTGAGTCTCGCTTGAAGTTAAATCGTGAAACAGCCGCGTTTTTTTCTTTGTGCAATATACTAAAACAGCTAATAATTTTATACTTTTTCATCGTTTTTCCGTTCCTTTAAGCGACGCCATGTGCTGGCTTTTAGCGGGAGCGCCATGTACTGGAACGATCACGGATCAGTGGTGAGACAAATGACTACACAATACGGGGGGGGGGGGGGGGGGGGGATCATACACTTAGTACCGGACATCACGTTGGTGGGTGGGTCGTTTTTTCTTCTAAAAAGACAGTGAGTACATGGTACTAACTGGTGGGTCTACTGCCCATTTTCCAGAAAAACAGTTAGTACATTGCATGGTACTAAAGGGGGTGTCTAACCCCAAAAAACCCAATTTACCTCTAATTTCAATTTTGGGAATGGGTTTTGAGGTTTTTTAAAGTTTTTTTTTGGGTTTTTTTTTTATTTTTAAAATTTTGTTAAGTCTTCCTTTAAAGTTTAAATGAGCAAAAAACAGTTAGATTTTTCGACAGTTAGTACCGCAAAAGGCGGCAAAAGGGGTGGGTGTCTTACGTATTATCCAAAAAAACAGTTAGTACCGCAAAGGGGGTGGGTGGGTCTAGTGAAAAATATCCAAAACTACACTTAGTCGACGTGATGTCCGGCACTTGGTACCTGATCAAACTGAGGTGGACGTCAGTTCATGAGATTGTGAATTTGAAACTGACAATTACTTGTCGATTACCAAAATGCACGATGATCATCAAAGTTGTGGTTGGTACACCTGTTTTCTAAGTCAGTTAAGTATAACGATAAAGGTGTAGTGAATCTTTGTATAGTGTGGTTCATGTCGATCGGCGTTTGCACGATAAATTAGACATGATCTGAGATCTCACTAACAGTAACAGTAATCTGCCACACATACTGTTTATATAACATTTATATACTGTTTATATAATATTTATATTTAATACAGTAGTGTAACATTTTTAAGTGGATATGCCAATAAGACACAGACATATTGTTTGAGAAGCTTAGGTAGAGTCTTTACAAGTCAGGTGCACTGTTACACAGGTAGTGCAGTCAATTCATTTGCATTTATTTGTAAGCAGATTTACATTTATCGAAGGATATGGTCTGGATGAAGAAGTAAATAAGCTTTGTTACAATGATTTATCAATAATATCAAATGTTTATCCATTTACAACAGTGCAACCAAAATACTAGATAAAATTAACTATTGAGAGTCAAGCAAAATAATATTACAACAACTAAACGCCCGCCTAACTTCATTATGGTAACCAGGTAACCATGGTAACCAGGTAACCAGGTAACCATGGTAACCAGGTAACCAGGTAACCAGGTAACCAGGTAACCAGGTAACCAGGTAACCAGGTAACCATAGTAACTATACTTTAACAATAATATAACACTTTCTATTCTGAAATAATCTAGCTACCGTGATTAATATAAACAATACATAAGATTGAAACTCATAGCTGAAACTACCCACTATCTAAATCCCTTAATATCATGATATACTAACTCCTGTGGCCGGCAGTTATTAGGTGCAGGATTACTTCTCACGTTAACGTGACGAAAGAAAAATTAATTTTTAAATCTCAATCTATTAATTTCAATTCACTAAACAAAAAATATCAAAACTGACTTCCAGTCCTTACAAATAAACTCTCTAATGATAGCACGAGCCGATTGAAGCCAGCTAACCAAACATTTGCAATAATTATATCAGATTTTAACTTTGCTGAGCATTAACGAGATAAGAACTTAAGAAATGTGCCCATTAACATTTCCCATATATTACAAGAATGTATTATCATAATAAATATATATTTAATAATTATAATTCAAATTACGATTTACTGAGTGCTGTAAAATAATAACACCCATTCAAAGATTTCTTGAACTTCTTAAACTACCAGTATTGCTAGAAATTATAATAGATTACATTACATTGTAAGCACTGTAATAGATTCATCATAATTTCTATAGAGCAAAAAAGGACTAATTTATTGAAGAAAATTGCATTATATAATTTAGAAACATTGCCCAAGCCTTCATTATAAACAATAACAATAACAAAAACTACATTTAAGTTCAATAACACTTAGTATTTACTAAAATCGTACAAACTTCTATATTCTTGGAGAGCACCATCACATGCAAAATTAATTATTTAATTAATTAACTAATTATTTAATTAATTAACTAATAATTGTCTCTTATTGATACGTGCTTTAGTGTGATTACCACAGCAAACTCTCCAGGGGTATTAATAGGAACTCTCAGTATATAAGTTCCCTCCAGTTACCATGGTTAAACAATACCATTTAGTTACTTTCAATATTTCAGTATTTTCCTCCCAGCTGCTTCAATTCTAGCTGCTCTGCAAATCCTTCATCGACTGTCCATATGTAAGTCAATTATCTGAAAAATTGCATATTTAAGAGCAGGAACTAAAAATGAGAAAATGATTAATATTAAAATTTCGTTTGTATAACGATCAAATCATGTCTCACCTGACAGACTGCCATATCTCACCTGACTGACTGCCATGTCTCACCTGACTGACTGCCATATCTCACCTGACTGACTGCCATGTCTCACCTGACTGACTGCCATATCTCACCTGACTGACTGCCATGTCTCACCTGACTGACTGCCATGTCTCACCTGACTGACTGCCATGTCTCAACTAACTGACTGCCATATCTCACCTGACTGACTGCCATATCTCACCTGACTGACTGCCATGTCTCACCTGACTGACCGCAGTGTCTCAACTGACTGACTGCCATATCTCACCTGACTGACTGCCATATCTCACCTGACTGACTGCCATGTCTCACCTGACTGACTGCCATGTCTCACCTGACTGACTGCCATGTCTCACCTGACTGACTGCCATGTCTCACCTGACTGACTGCCATATCTCACCTGACTGACTGCCATATCTCACCTGACTGACTGCCATATCTCACCTGACTGACTGCCATGTCTCACCTGACTGACTGCCATGTCTCACCTGACTGACTGCCATGTCTCACCTGACTGACTGCCATGTCTCACCTGACTGACTGCCATGTCTCACCTGACTGACTGCCATGTCTCACCTGACTGACTGCCATGTCTCACCTGACTGACTGCCATGTCTCACCTGACTGACTGCCATGTCTCACCTGACTGACTGCCATGTCTCACCTGACTGACTGCCATGTCTCACCTGACTGACTGCCATATCTCACCTGACTGACTGCCATGTCTCACCTGACTGACTGCCATGTCTCACCTGACTGACTGCCATATCTCACCTGACTGACTGCCATGTCTCACCTGACTGACTGCCATGTCTCACCTGACTGACTGCCATGTCTCACCTGACTGACTGCCATGTCTCACCTGACTGACTGCCATGTCTCACCTGACTGACTGCCATGTCTCACCTGACTGACTGCCATATCTCACCTGACTGACTGCCATGTCTCACCTGACTGACTGCCATGTCTCACCTGACTGACTGCCATATCTCACCTGACTGACTGCCATATCTCACCTGACTGACTGCCATATCTCACCTGACTGACTGCCATGTCTCACCTGACTGACTGCCATGTCTCACCTGACTGACTGCCATGTCTCACCTGACTGACTGCCATGTCTCAACTAACTGACTGCCATGTCTCAACTAACTGACTGCCATGTCTCACCTGACTGACTGCCATATCTCACCTGACTGACTGCCATGTCTCACCTGACTGACTGCCATGTCTCACCTGACTGACTGCCATGTCTCACCTGACTGACTGCCATGTCTCACCTGACTGACTGCCATGTCTCACCTGACTGACTGCCATGTCTCACCTGACTGACTGCCATATCTCACCTGACTGACTGCCATGTCTCACCTGACTGACTGCCATGTCTCACCTGACTGACTGCCATGTCTCACCTGACTGACTGCCATGTCTCACCTGACTGACTGCCATGTCTCACCTGACTGACTGCCATGTCTCACCTGACTGACTGCCATGTCTCACCTGACTGACTGCCATGTCTCACCTGACTGACTGCCATGTCTCACCTGACTGACTGCCATGTCTCACCTGACTGACTGCCATGTCTCACCTGACTGACTGCCATGTCTCACCTGACTGACTGCCATGTCTCACCTGACTGACTGCCATATCTCACCTGACTGACTGCCATGTCTCACCTGACTGACTGCCATATCTCACCTGACTGACTGCCATGTCTCACCTGACTGACTGCCATGTCTCACCTGACTGACTGCCATGTCTCACCTGACTGACTGCCATGTCTCACCTGACTGACTGCCATGTCTCACCTGACTGACTGCCATGTCTCACCTGACTGACTGCCATGTCTCACCTGACTGACTGCCATGTCTCACCTGACTGACTGCCATGTCTCACCTGACTGACTGCCATGTCTCACCTGACTGACTGCCATATCTCACCTGACTGACTGCCATGTCTCACCTGACTGCCATGTCTCACCTGACTGACTGCCATGTCTCACCTGACTGACTGCCATGTCTCACCTGACTGACTGCCATGTCTCACCTGACTGACTGCCATGTCTCACCTAACTGACTGCCATGTCTCACCTGACTGACTGCCATGTCTCACCTGACTGACTGCCATGTCTCACCTGACTGACTGCCATGTCTCACCTGACTGACTGCCATGTCTCACCTGACTGACTGCCATGTCTCACCTGACTGACTGCCATGTCTCACCTGACTGACTGCCATATCTCACCTGACTGACTGCCATGTCTCACCTGACTGACTGCCATGTCTCACCTGACTGACTGCCATGTCTCACCTGACTGACTGCCATGTCTCACCTGACTGACTGCCATATCTCACCTGACTGACTGCCATGTCTCACCTGACTGACTGCCATGTCTCACCTGACTGACTGCCATGTCTCACCTGACTGACTGCCATGTCTCACCTGACTGACTGCCATGTCTCACCTGACTGACTGCCATGTCTCACCTGACTGACTGCCATGTCTCACCTGACTGACTGCCATGTCTCACCTGACTGACTGCCATGTCTCACCTGACTGACTGCCATGTCTCACCTGACTGACTGCCATGTCTCACCTGACTGACTGCCATGTCTCACCTGACTGACTGCCATGTCTCACCTGACTGACTGCCATGTCTCACCTGACTGACTGCCATGTCTCACCTGACTGACTGCCATGTCTCACCTGACTGACTGCCATGTCTCACCTGACTGACTGCCATATCTCACCTGACTGACTGCCATGTCTCACCTGACTGACTGCCATGTCTCACCTGACTGACTGCCATGTCTCACCTGACTGACTGCCATGTCTCACCTGACTGACTGCCATGTCTCACCTGACTGACTGCCATGTCTCACCTGACTGACTGCCATGTCTCACCTGACTGACTGCCATGTCTCACCTGACTGACTGCCATGTCTCACCTGACTGACTGCCATGTCTCACCTGACTGACTGCCATGTCTCACCTGACTGACTGCCATGTCTCACCTGACTGACTGCCATGTCTCACCTGACTGACTGCCATGTCTCACCTGACTGACTGCCATGTCTCACCTGACTGACTGCCATGTCTCACCTGACTGACTGCCATGTCTCACCTGACTGACTGCCATGTCTCACCTGACTGACTGCCATGTCTCACCTGACTGACTGCCATATCTCACCTGACTGCCATGTCTCACCTGACTGACTGCCATGTCTCACCTGACTGACTGCCATGTCTCACCTGACTGACTGCCATGTCTCACCTGACTGACTGCCATGTCTCACCTGACTGACTGCCATGTCTCACCTGACTGACTGCCATGTCTCACCTGACTGACTGCCATGTCTCACCTAACTGACTGCCATATCTCACCTGACTGACTGCCATATCTCACCTGACTGACTGCCATGTCTCACCTGACTGACTGCCATGTCTCACCTGACTGACTGCCATGTCTCACCTGACTGACTGCATGTCTCACCTGACTGCCATATCTCACCTGACTGACTGCCATGTCTCACCTGACTGACTGCCATGTCGTCTTCATAGTCGGGGGCTCTGGTTTTGATGGCGACGTCCTGCATCGCATCAGTAATAGTCTCCAGTAAGAGATCATCTTTTTTATAGCACGGGTCAACAGACATGTTGAGCTGAAGATGGTTGTATCAGCTGTTTTAGTATTACTTACTTGTTACTTGTTAGTTACGCATAAACAAAGCAATTTTTTAAGTGTAAACCAATTCTAAAAACAAAACATAACCCATTAAAAAGAAACCTCGAGAGTAGGTTTCCTAAGTAGAGACACGTGATGCCCATATAAGGAGAAAACAAACCTCGAGAGCTGAAGGTTGCTCGACGGAACCTTGTCCGCTCTCAATGACACACAAACCGTTGATAGCCTCACTGTTGTGTATAGTGTCGGTTCTGAGGGGCGTGCTGTGCAATTCCATATCATCGTATATATTGTCTGCGTGGTGGGAATCCTCCGACACAACTGAGTGCGATACAGGGTGAGAGACACGTGATGCACATATAAGGAGAGGGATACAAACTGCAGAACTAGTAGAGACACGTGATGCCCATATAAGGAGAGGGATACAAACTGAGAGGTGGAGATATAAACCTGTTTGATTAGCTAGTCACCATAGTTACACTGCTAGTTACCTGTTTGATCAGCAAGTATAGAAGAACTAGCGTTGTTGAGAGAAGAGGGTAGCACGTGAACAGTTCTAAAACAGAACTGCGGTCCCATCCATAGGCATCTGTGGGGTGCTTCGTAAGTCTGTATCTCCACATAGCTCACCCAACCCTCATCCTTCTTACAAAGTTCTTCATCTTCCGCTTCTATCTCTGAAATAGTGCGGATTTGATATAACAGGTCAAATTCAGAAGGTTTGATGTATTATGATTATTCTGAGATTTAGTAAGACTCTTTTCCTGACTTTGTATTATCGCTAACTTGAGAGCCCCCCCCCCCCCCTTAACTTGAGAGTAGAGTTACCCTGTTAGAGAGAAGATGAGAGCCCCCCCCCCACTATTAACTTGAGAGTAGAGTTACCCTGTTCAGAGTGAAGATGAGAGCCCCCCCCCCCCTACTTGAGACTTGAGAGTAGAGTTACCCTGTTCAGAGAGAAGATGAGAGCCCCCCCCCCCCCCCCTTAACTTGAGAGTAGAGTTACCCTGTTCAGAGAGAAGATGAGAGCCCCCCCCCCCTTAACTTGAGAGTAGAGTTACCCTGTTCAGAGTGAAGATGAGAGCCCCCCCCCCCTCTCTTAACTTGAGAGTAGAGTTACCCTGTTCAGAGAGAAGATGAGAGCCCCCCCCCCCCCACTATTAACTTGAGAGTAGAGTTACCCTGTTCAGAGAGAAGATGAGAGCCCCCCCCCCTTAACTTGAGAGTAGAGTTACCCTGTTCAGAGAGAAGATGAGAGCCCCCTACCCTTAACTTGAGACTTTGAGAGTAGAGTTACCCTGTTGAGAGAGAAGATGAGAGCCCCCCCCCTCCCCCTTAACTTGAGAGTAGAGTTACCCTGTTCAGAGAGAAGATGAGAGCCCCCCCCCCTTAACTTGAGAGTAGAGTTACCCTGTTGAGAGAGAAGATGAGAGCCCCCCCCCCCCCCCTTTAACTTGAGAGTAGAGTTACCCTGTCGAGAGAGAAGATGGGAGCCCCCCCCCCCCCCCCTTAACTTGAGAGTAGAGTTACCCTGTTGAGAGAGAAGATGAGAGCCCCCCCCCCCCTAACTTGAGAGTAGAGTTACCCTGTTCAGAGAGAAGATGAATGTCCTTGAACTGAAGAACAGGCTCACTCCGAGTGCTCCTCCCTAAGTTCCACTGTATAGAGGGGGTGGCTGTAAGCTGTATCGGAGCATCGTCAGCCGGGATCACTCCCGTCAAAACACAGCAGTCGAACTTATACTCCACCAACACACCTCCAGGTCCCAACACGAACAAGGACTCACTCCTCACTGGGGGAGATATGAGTTATTATATAGTTACTATGGTTACTATATTTACTATTATATTTACTATGGTTACTATGGTTACTATGGTTACTATGGAACTTATACTCCACCAACACACCTCCAGGTCCCAACACGAACAAGGACTCACTCCTCACTGGGGGAGATGTGAGTTATTATATAGTTACTATGGTTACTATGGTTACTATGGTTACTATGGAACTTATACTCCACCAACACACCTCCGGGTCCCAACACGAACAAGGACTCACTTCTCACTGGGGGAGATGTGAGTTATTATATAGTTACTATGGTTACTATATTTACTATTATATTTACTATGGTTACTATGGTTACTATGGTTACTATGGAACTTATACTCCACCAACACACCTCCAGGTCCCAACACGAACAAGGACTCACTCCTCACTGGGGGAGATGTGAGTTATTATATAGTTACTATGGTTATTATGGTTACTATGGTTACTATGGAACTTATACTCCACCAACACCCCCCGGGTCCTAACACGAACAAGGACTCACTCCTTACTGGGGGAGATGTGAGTTATTATATAGTTACTATGGTTACTATATTTACTATTATATTTACTATGGTTACTATGGTTACTATGGTTACTATGGAACTTATACTCCACCAACACCCCTCCAGGTCCCAACACGAACAAGGACTCACTCTTTACTGGGGGAGATGTGAGTTATTATTGACAGCAGAGGTTCAATAGATGACATGATACGTGGTGACCAGTGAGGGTTATGAATACAGTTGGTAAAAGTTGTGAAATGGAGCCAAATTTACTGCCATTAGACGAATAAGATCCACGAATCAATGTCACGTGTTAATTGTCCACGTGTTAATTTGTCACGTGTTAAGACTTAAGACAAAACCTCCATGCCGGTTTCCAAAATTATTACCTAGTTTATCATCAAAAGGAAGGAACAATAGATAAAACGAAATATCACAACAGTAAAAAGTTAAATTATGCTAATGAGATAAACGCACCTGACTTATAACAGAGTATAGTGCACACTCAACTACACTCTGCTACTAGAGTAATAAGACGCACCTGACTTATAACAGAGTATAGTGCACACTCAACTACACTCTGCTACTAGAGTAATAAGACGCACCTGACTTATAACAGAGTATAGTGCACACTCAACTACACTCTGCTACTAGAGTAATAAGACGCACCTGACTTATAACAGAGTATATTGCACACTCAACTACACCTTGTACAAGAGTAAATAGAGCACCCTGACTTATAAAGTCCCGTTAATAGTGCACACCACCTCCCCCCTTACTAGAGTTAATAAGCCCTGTTATAAAGAGAAGTGCCCCACTACTAAAAGTACCCTGTTCAGAGTAAATAAGACCCCCCCTGACTTATAAAGAGTTACCTGTCACAGTAAATACACCCGCCTTAACTAGAGTAATTACCCCCTGTTATAGAAAGTATGAGGCCACCCTCCCCACCCTTACTTGACTATAGAGTAATAAAGACGAACCTGAACTTATAACAGGCTATCAGTGCCCACCTAAGTTCCATTTGTATAGAGTCGTAATGTAGAGCACTCAGCCGGATCACTCCGTAAACAGCAGTCAACTTAGTACTCACCAACACCCTCTGGTCCAACCGAAAAGACCATCCTCCTGATGTATATAATAGTTATATGTACACATTAAATAATTGTACTAGGTAATATAGCATACTGTTTAAACATGGTTAGTATGGCACAACTCCAACACACCTCTGTCCAACACGAACAAGGACCACTCTTATAACGGGGAGAGTATTTTATTGACACCAGATTCATATAGAGTAACAACGGGACCATGAGGTTATAAAACAGTGGTAAGTTGCACATGGAACACAATCTGCCATTAGAGAATAAGATCCACGAATAATCAGGTTAATTGTCACACTTAATACACTTGTATAAGACTAAACAAAAGCACCTGCCTTAAACAATTAGTACCTATATCTCAACAAGAGGAACAATAGATTAAACAGAGTATATCACAATCATAATTAACTTGCTAAGAGTAAAGCACTGACTTATAACAGAGTATATTGCACACTCAACTACACTCTGCTACTAGAGTGATAAGAGCACCTGACTTATAACAGAGTATAGTGCACACTCAACTACACTCTGCTACTAGAGTGATAAGAGCACCTGACTTATAACAGAGTATAGTGCACACTCAACTACACTCTGCTACTAGAGTTATAAGAGCACCTGACTTATAACAGAGTATAGTGCACACTCAACTACACTCTGCTACTAGAGTGATAAGAGCACCTGACTTATAACAGAGTATAGTGCACACCCAACTACACTCTGCTACTAGAGTAACAAGAGCACCTGACTTATAACAGAGTATAGTGCACACTCAACTACACTCTGCTACTAGAGTAACAAGAGCACCTGACTTATAACAGAGTATAGTGCACACTCAACTACACTCTGCTACTAGAGTAACAAGAGCACCTGACTTATAACAGAGTATAGTGCACACTCAACTACACTCTGCTACTAGAGTAATAACACGCACCTGACTTATAACAGAGTATAGTGCACACTCAACTACACTCTGCTACTAGAGTAATAAGAGAACCTGACTTATAACATAGTATAGTGCACACTCAACTACACTCTGCTACTAGAGTAACAAGAGCACCTGACTTATAACATAGTATAGTGCACACTCAACTACACTCTGCTACTAGAGTAACAAGAGCACCTGACTTATAACAGAGTATAGTGCACACTCAACTACACTCTGCTACTAGAGTAACAAGAGCACATTACTTATAACAGAGTATAGTGCACACTCAACTACACTCTGCTACTAGAGTAATAAGACGCACCTGACTTATAACAGAGTATAGTGCACACTCAACTACACTCTGCTACTAGAGTAACAAGAGCACCTGACTTATAACAGAGTATAGTGCACACTCAACTACACTCTGCTACTAGAGTAATAAGAGCACCTGACTTATAACATAGTATAGTGCACACTCAACTACACTCTGCTACTAGAGTAATAAGACGCACCTGACTTATAACAGAGTATAGTGCACACTCAACTACACTCTGCTACTAGAGTAATAAGAGCACCTGACTTATAACAGAGTATAGTGCACACTCAACTACACTCTGCTACTAGAGTAATAAGAGCACCTGACTTATAACAGAGTATAGTGCACACTCAACTACACTCTGCTACTAGAGTAATAAGAGCACCTGACTTATAACATAGTATAGTGCACACTCAACTACACTCTGCTACTAGAGTAATAAGACGCACCTGACTTATTGGAAGATTTGGGTGTTTTTAATCTTGATTTCCCGAACACAGCAGATATAGGGAAGATAAGAGTGGACTGTGAGAGGTTGGTTGAGGATTTGAGGGGTGATTGTTTCAGTTGGACTAAAGGAGTCGTCACGTTAGGTGTCGGTAGAATGGGTATCGTACTGTGTCGCTGATAGCTCGGAACTGAAGTGAGATATTATTACTGTGGTATTATGGTTACTATGGTTACTATGGTTACTATGGTTACTATGGTTACTATAGTTACTATGGTTAATATAGCAAATATAGTTACTATGGTTACTATGGTTTCTATGGTTACTATGGTTACTATGGTAAATATGGTTACTATGGTAAATATAGTTACTAAGGTTACTATGGTAAATATAGTTACTATGGTTACTATGGTAAATATAGTTACTGTGGTTACTATGGTAAATATAGTTACTATGGTTACTATGGTAAATATAGTTACTATGGTTACTATGGTTATTAAAGTAGGCCAGGTAGGTCAGTAGGTCACACAGTGACAATGATAGCTCAAAAAATGAGTTATACTAATTAGCTTTCTCTGTTCGACTAAGTTTTGAATTTTTGTCAGGTTAAAATACGAGCTGCTTGTAAAATGTTGAAATGTTGTTCCTGACTAACCTAAATCCTGTTCCCGTAGGGCAGGGACTCCATTACTCTTGTGAGAAATATGATTAATTCCCGCTGATGTGTGAAACCTGCAAATGGTTATTATTTGGACATTATTCATTATAAACGCGACACCAAACTCTTCAGTGCAGCGTAGAGACGTGAAAATCTGGACTCTTGGGCCGCTGCAAAAAATTCTCATATTTTCGATTGATTTTTATTGTTCTTTTGTTTTTGTACATAAATAAGAATAAAAAGGAAGGGGCAAATATTAAAAATATCTACCTAGAATGCCTATTAACGACTTTAGAGGAGAGGTGGGTTCGACAGGTAATGGGGCCGCCGTACGGTGTGATAGGGAATATGTGTGTTGTACCGTTCCGTGTGCTCGCACACAACCACCTGCAGTCTTGAGAAAACGCTAGGTTCTGAATCTGAAATATCAGGCTTCTTAGATGTAGAACTGCAAAGGTTATCTCCCTTGCTCAGATTTATATACTGATATAGGTATAAATATTTAAGTGTAACCTAACTTTCGGGCAACTAACCGAAGCTGAGGTATCGCCCCGATGCAGGACATACAGGTGATGAATCTGACAGACTGAACTGGACCAAGGATGAGGTTTTATCTCGAACACGTGGAAATCTTTTCCGACCACGTCAGCCGTGACCAACAAACTACCGCTGGAATAATTGCTATATTTAGAAGTTGTTACAGTCGGTTTGTTTTGCTGCGCGCTGCTCTTTGCTCCAGATTCACTGCGCGCCACAAGCGCGTTCGTTTTAAGTAACAGCTGTGTAGTCTAATTTTATATCTACAAAAAGATACCTGCGCGCTACGAATACTAGATTGGCACCGGATGTCTCATTCGATTTACGGCAGTGAAAGAGTTCAACCAACGTCGTACGTTAGATTTTAAACACAATTCTAAATATTCTAAATATCCTAATCAACAGAACACATTAAACTAACCTCCTATCAAAAGATAAAGCTGATATAGGAGAGTTAGTGTGGGCCGTGAAGTGGGCCATGGTTGCTCGAGATGTGCTACTATCGCTTAAACTCGTCTCACCGTCCGCCTTAATACAGTCTACTATGGTCACTATTCCTGCTTTATCATCTGTGTCACGGGACTGAAAATTAGTTTATTAATACAGTCTACTATGGTCACTATTCCTGCTTTATCATCTGTGTCACGGGACTGAAAATTAGTTTATTAATACAGTCTACTATGGTCACTATTCCTGCTTTATCATCTGTGTCACGGGACTAAAAATTAGTTTATTAATACAGTCTACTATGGTCACTATTCCTGCTTTATCATCTGTGTCACGGGACTGAAAATTAGTTTATTAATACAGTCTACTATGGTCACTATTCCTGCTTTATCATCTGTGTCACGGGACTGAAAATTAGTTTATTAATACAGTCTACTATGGTCACTATTCCTGCTTTATCATCTGTGTCACGGGACTGAAAATTAGTTTATTATTAGCTAAACCTGTGTACAACACAAATTGTACTCGGAACAGGGTATTAGTAATTTACAAATGTCTCTCTCTCTCTGTTTACAAGTGTGTATATATTATATATATAAATATACTACATGGGGTATTTGACAGATTTTGACACGATTCTGTACTGATAAGGTTTTGATGATGTAAAGACGAAATTGAATGTGCTACTTACTTTTGTAGATTCACTGTATTGATAGTTATGTTGCGTTAGTCTTCCAACTGTTTCACCTGGAATAAGATAATCATCTTTAGAGTCATTTGATATGACGATCTAATTTGAGAGATAGTGACTATTTAATATTCTTTAAAAACTGCAACTCAATCAATCAATCATTAAAAGCCAAAAGGGGAAGCTATGAATTAAGTCTATCATTAATGTTTAAATAAACTATTACTTACCCACAATACTCAGTCCCTTCTTGACACTCTCAGCTGCATTAAGAACCGTAGCAGTGTAGGACTGTAAGCCTGTACCACACATTCCACCGTAACTGAGGTGTGACTGCATCGCCTGCAAAACTTATTTATTACTCTGACAATAAAATTATTTTTAATTTAAAATATTTTATAAGAGAGAGAAAACAGCGAACATATATAAACATTCAGATGCTAATACTCTTAAGTCCCCACTCCCACTCCCACTCCCACTCCCACTCCCACTCCCACTCCCACTCCCACTCCCACTCCCACTCCCACTCCCACTCCCACTCCCACTCCCACTCCCACTCCCACTCCCACTCCCACTCCCACTCCCACTCCCACTCCCACTCCCACTCCCACTCCCACTCCCACTCCCACTCCCACTCCCACTCCCACTCCCACTCCCACTCCCACTCCCACTCCCACTCCCACTCCCACTCCCACTCCCACTCCCACTCCCACTCCCACTCCCACTCCCACTCCCACTGCTCCTACTCTACTGTAGTCAAATGATACCTAGCATGACAAATCTGGTAGTTTTAAGTCAGACAATTTTACTCCGTTAAATTTTGAAATTTAGAATTTTAAATAAATAAAATAAATAACTGCATAGTTGAAAGTTAATATAAGTGCACATACCCCCTTGTCACTGTAAGCTAACCATCTGCTTCCTAAACCAATTGGCTGCACGTCTGAACACGGATAACATCTTGAAATCCAGAAGTTGATCTCAAATGTAACAGCATCAAATACTGCAATCTTCTCTTTCAGTGCCACCACTATCACTCTGTAGTGGGTAAGAAGTTGTTAGGGGGTCGTTACCGTGCTATTTGCTATATTGTAACTACTATCACTCTGTAGTGGGTAAGAAGTTGTTAGGGGGGTCGTTACCGTGCTATTTGCTATATTGTAACTACTATCACTCTGCAATGGGTAAGAAGTCGTTGGGGGGGGGGGGGGGGGTCGTTACCGTGATATTTGCTATATTGTAACTACTATCACTCTGTAGTGGGTAAGAAGTCGTTAGGGGGGGGTCGTTACCGTGATATTTGCTATATTGTAACTACTATCACTCTGTAGTGGGTAAGAAGTTGTTAGGGGGTCGTTACCGTGATATTTGCTATATTGTAACTACTATCACTCTGCAATGGGTAAGAAGTCGTTAGGGGGGTCGTTACCGTGATATTTGCTATATTGTAACTACTATCACTCTGTAGTGGGTAAGAAGTTGTTAGGGGGGTCGTTACCGTGCTATTTGCTATATTGTAACTACTATCACTCTGTAGTGGGTAAGAAGTTGTTAGGGGGGTCGTTACCGTGATATTTGCTATATTGTAACTACTATCCCTCTGTAGTGGGTAAAAAGTCGTTAGGGGGGGTCGTTACCGTGCTATTCGCTATATTGTAACTACTATCACTCTGTAGTGGGTAAGAAGTCGTTAGGGGGGGTCGTTACCGTGATATTTGCTATATTGTAACTATTATCACTCTGTAGTGCAGTGGGTAAGAAGTTGTTAGGGGGGTCGTTACCGTGATATTTGCTATATTGTAACTACTATCACTCTGTAGTGGGTAAGAAGTCGTTAGGGGGGGTCGTTACCGTGATATTTGCTATATTGTAACTACTATCACTCTGTAGTGGGTAAGAAGTCGTTAGGGGGGGGGTCGTTACCGTGATATTTGCTATATTGTAACTACTATCACTCTGCAATGGGTAAGAAGTCGTTAGGGGGGGGTCGTTACCGTAATATTTGCTATATTGTAACTACTATCACTCTGTAGTGGGTAAGAAGTTGTTAGGGGGGTCGTTACCGTGCTATTCGCTATATTGTAACTACTATCACTCTGTAGTGGGTAAGAAGTTGTTGCTATATTGTAATACTTTGTGTGAGAGGTTGAGAGTGTAACTTTGTTGCGCAACAGTTAAATACAGTAGAGGAAGTATTTATATAAAGGAAGTGTGCAAGAGGTGATACTACTACTACTACTACTATGTCGGAACTAAGTCCGATCTACGTCAGATAACCACCTCCATATATCCCTGTCCCGCATCAGGGTTCGCAGTTCCTCTTTAGAGTTTGTCCCAACTTCCTTCAGTAACATAGACAAGTGGTACAGAACATAATATAGCCCTAGATTAGGCATCAGAAAGTATACAACACACAACACAAACAACACACAACACACAAACCACAGTTAGTATAATGATAAATACAGTTCACGAAATCAATACAACTCGCTTTACTTATAATATAGTAAGATTATCATTGCCAGGAATATTCTGGCTGATTTCCAAGTTCACCAACCCTGCCCCCCACAGTTTACAACAAGATATTCTTTATTTGATTATAACTCAGCTATATTTGTGATGTCGAGCTAAAATTTTGCACCAAATTTGTCCAAGTGTTTTCAAAAACTTGGCCATTGAAGTATCTGCTAAGTCATTTGGGTTGGACAGATATGGTGTACAGGCCCGTTAACAGCAGTTAAATATGGTACCCAGTTTAAATATCCAGCCTCAATATCCGGTTCCATACGGTAGAACCACCCCTCTGCTACTGGTGGATTCTGGTTAATTTTAGCTGCTTTTTAAATGTTAACAATGTAGCCTGATCGACCTTGACAAGTCAAGGTTTCTTACCAGTACCACCGTTACTTATTTTGTAGTATTTTCATAAAAACCACCTGTTATAATGCTTTTAATGCTAGACACAAGGTCATTAAAATTCGCAAAACAAAGCTGTTATATGAAATTACCTTATATATTGTTACATAAGCTAGTATACATAAAATAGGGTAAAATATCAATATAGAATAATACTCACTGTTGATTGACAGTGAGACTGAATATCTCAGATTTAAAGTGGATAGTGTGAATCATGTTACCACTCCTGATAGACCAGATATCTACACAGGTAGCGGCAGGTTTAGGGTTGCTGTTGTCCACTACCAGCACGAAGGGGTGTAAACCTCTCAACTCCTCGCCGTAGTGGCACATCTCAGTGTCCAGATAACAGGCTGTCTTTGCTGGTCCTGAATTATTTAACGAATAATTAGATTTAGTTCTCAGTTTATTTAGTTCTCTTTTTGAAAAAGTACAAGAGTTGAATTATTTTATCCAGTGCATTTGTGTTTTGACCCCGAACCCCCCCCCCCCCCCCCCCCCCCGACCCCCCGGCTAGGAATGTCCTTACCTCTACGCTGAGAGAAGACCTCGTACGCCAGCCCAGTAATAGGAACTAGCCAGCACTGCACCCCAGTTACATAGCCAATAAAGAGAATAATAGAACCATCCTTTAGCTCCTGAGTGGACTGCCACAACACTAACTCTTTCTCCTCCGACTTAGGGGACGTCTGGGGAGGAGGCGTGATTAGACCATTATGTAATTTGATGACGTAATTAGACCATTATGTAATTTGTTGACGTAATTAAGTTAATAATGGGAGACTTATTAGCGAATAACATTTCGTGATATGATTTTTTATTGAAATCTTTCATTATATCAATCAATTAAATATGAATATTAGGAATTTTCAGAATTTTAAGAAGTCCCCAACTACATAACTGTTATACAGGGAAAAGTGGAAAGCCTTAATAATACGAGAAAACACAATATTAAGCATATTATTAAATATGTCATTTGCTGCAATATTACATTATTTTATTCTTTGTAATTTTCAATAACCCTGTCTAGTCAAATTTGACTACTGATTATATAATTACATATTGGTTTACCTGAGGAGCAACCACCTCGTGGATGTAATCAACAACGCTCTCGATGTACGATCTTTCTCTGTGGGAATGAAAATGTTAAAACAAGTTACCTTATCTTACTTCAGAGGGTCTAACAGTAGCCTAATTTAGTTAAATACTATAAACTCACGCTACTTTAGTGGGTCTAACAGTATAAGTAGCCTAATTTAGTTAAATACTATAAACTCACGCTACTTTAGAGGGTCTAACAGTAGCCTAATTTAGTTAAATACTATAAACTCACGCTACTTTAGTGGGTCTAACAGTATAAGTAGCCTAATTTAGTTAAATACTATAAACTCACGCTACTTTAGAGGGTCTAACAGTAGCCTAATTTAGTTAAATACTATAAACTCAGGCTACTTTAGAGGGTCTAACAGTAGCCTAATTTAGTTAAATACTATAAACTCACGCTACTTTAGAGGGTCTAACAGTAGCCTAATTTAGTTAAATACTATAAACTCACGCTACTTTAGAGGGTCTAACAGTAGCCTAATTTAGTTAAATACCATAAACTCACGCTACTTAAGAGGGTCTAACAGTAGCCTAATTTAGTTAAATACTATAAACTCACGCTACTTTAGAGGGTCTAACAGTAGCCTAATTTAGTTAAATACTATAAACTCACGCTACTTTAGAGGGTCTAACAGTAGCCTAATTTAGTTAAATACTATAAACTCACGCTACTTTAGAGGGTCTAACAGTAGCCTAATTTAGTTAAATACTATAAACTCACGCTACTTTAGAGGGTCTAACAGTAGCCTAATTTAGTTAAATACTATAAACTCACGCTACTTTAGAGGGTCTAACAGTAGCCTAATTTAGTTAAATACTATAAACACACGCTACTTTAGAGGGTCTAACAGTAGCCTAATTTAGTTAAATACTATAAACACACACTACTTTAGAGGGTCTAACAGTAGCCTAATTTAGTTAAATACTATGAACTCACGCTACTTTAGAGGGTCTAACAGTAGCCTAATTTAGTTAAATACTATAAACTCACGCTACTTTAGAGGGTCTAACAGTAGCCTAATTTAGTTAAATACTATAAACTCACGCTACTTTAGAGGGTCTAACAGTAGCCTAATTTAGTTAAATACTATAAACTCACGCTACTTTAGAGGGTCTAACAGTAGCCTAATTTAGTTAAATACTATAAACTCACGCTACTTAAGAGGGTCTAACAGTAGCCTAATTTAGTTAAATACTATAAACTCACGCTACTTTAGAGGGTCTAACAGTAGCCTAATTTAGTTAAATACTATAAACTCACGCTACTTTAGAGGGTCTAACAGTAGCCTAATTTAGTTAAATACTATAAACTCACGCTACTTAAGAGGGTCTAACAGTAGCCTAATTTAGTTAAATACTATAAACTCACGCTACTTTAGAGGGTCTAACAGTAGCCTAATTTAGTTAAATACTATAAACTCACGCTACTTTAGAGGGTCTAACAGTAGCCTAATTTAGTTAAATACTATAAACTCACGCTACTTTAGAGGGTCTAACAGTAGCCTAATTTAGTTAAATACCATAAACTCACGCTACTTAAGAGGGTCTAACAGTAGCCTAATTTAGTTAAATACTATAAACTCACGCTACTTTAGAGGGTCTAACAGTAGCCTAATTTAGTTAAATACTATAAACTCACGCTACTTTAGAGGGTCTAACAGTAGCCTAATTTAGTTAAATACTATAAACTCACGCTACTTTAGAGGGTCTAACAGTAGCCTAATTTAGTTAAATACTATAAACTCACGCTACTTTAGAGGGTCTAACAGTAGCCTAATTTAGTTAAATACTATAAACTCACGCTACTTAAGAGGGTCTAACAGTAGCCTAATTTAGTTAAATACTATAAACTCACGCTACTTTAGAGGGTCTAACAGTAGCCTAATTTAGTTAAATACTATAAACTCACGCTACTTTAGAGGGTCTAACAGTATAAGTAGCCTAATTTAGCTAAATACTATAAACTCACGCTACTTTAGAGGGTCTAACAGTAGCCTAATTTAGTTAAATACTATAAACTCACGCTACTTTAGAGGGTCTAACAGTATAAGTAGCCTAATTTAGCTAAATACTATAAACTCACGCTACTTTAGAGGGTCTAACAGTAGCCTAATTTAGTTAAATACTATAAACTCACGCTACTTTAGAGGGTCTAACAGTAGCCTAATTTAGTTAAATACCATAAACTCACGCTACTTTAAAGGGTCTAACAGTAGCCTAATTTAGTTAAATACTATAAACTCACGCTACTTTAGAGGATCTAACAGTAGCCTAATTTAGTTAAATACTATAAACTCACGCTACTTTAGAGGGTCTAACAGTAGCCTAATTTAGTTAAATACTATAAACTCACGCTACTTAAGAGGGTCTAACAGTAGCCTAATTTAGTTAAATACTATAAACTCACGCTACTTTAGAGGGTCTAACAGTAGCCTAATTTAGTTAAATACCATAAACTCACGCTACTTTAAGAGGGTCTAACAGTAGCCTAATTTAGTTAAATACTATAAACTCACGCTACTTTAGAGGGTCTAACAGTAGCCTAATTTAGTTAAATACTATAAACTCACGCTACTTTAGAGGGTCTAACAGTAGCCTAATTTAGTTAAATACTATAAACTCACGCTACTTTAGAGGGTCTAACAGTAGCCTAATTTAGTTAAATACCATAAACTCACGCTACTTTAAAGGGTCTAACAGTAGCCTAATTTAGTTAAATACTATAAACTCACGCTACTTTAGAGGGTCTAACAGTAGCCTAATTTAGTTAAATACTATAAACTCACGCTACTTTAGAGGATCTAACAGTATAAGTAGCCTAATTTAGTTAAATACTATAAACTCACGCTACTTTAGAGGGTCTAACAGTAGCCTAATTTAGTTAAATACTATAAACTCACGCTACTTTAGAGGGTCTAACAGTAGCCTAATTTAGTTAAATACTATAAACTCACGCTACTTTAGAGGGGTCTAACAGTAGCCTAATTTAGTTAAATACTATAAACTCACACTACTTTAGAGGGTCTAACAGTAGCCTAATTTAGTTAAATACTATAAACTCACGCTACTTTAGAGGGTCTAACAGTAGCCTAATTTAGTTAAATACTATTAACTCACGCTACTTTAGAGGGTCTAACAGTAGCATAATTTAGTTAAATACTATAAACTAACGCTACTTTAGAGGGTCTAACAGTAGCCTAATTTAGTTAAATACTATAAACTCACGCTACTTTAGAGGGTCTAACAGTAGCCTAATTTAGTTAAATACTATAAACTCACGCTACTTTAGAGGGTCTAACAGTAGCCTAATTTAGTTAAATACTATAAACTCACGCTACTTTAGAGGGTCTAACAGTAGCCTGATTTAGTTAAATACTATAAACTCACGCTACTTTAGAGGGTCTAACAGTAGCCTAATTTAGTTAAATACCATAAACTCACGCTACTTTAGAGGATCTAACAGTAGCCTAATTTAGTTAAATACTATAAACTCACGCTACTTTAGAGGGTCTAACAGTAGCCTAATTTAGTTAAATACTGTAAACTCACGCTACTTTAGAGGATCTAACAGTAGCCTAATTTAGTTAAATACTATAAACTCACGCTACTTTAGAGGGTCTAACAGTAGCCTAATTTAGTTAAATACTATAAACTCACGCTACTTTAGAGGGTCTAACAGTAGCCTAATTTAGTTAAATACTATAAACTCACGCTACTTTAGAGGGTCTAACAGTAGCCTAATTTAGTTAAATACTATAAACTCACGCTACTTAAGAGGGTCTAACAGTAGCCTAATTTAGTTAAATACCATAAACTCACGCTACTTTAGAGGATCTAACAGTAGCCTAATTTAGTTAAATACTATAAACTCACGCTACTTAAGAGGGTCTAACAGTAGCCTGATTTAGTTAAATACTATAAACTCACGCTACTTTAGAGGGTCTAACAGTAGCCTAATTTAGTTAAATACTATAAACTCACGCTACTTAAGAGGGTCTAACAGTAGCCTAATTTAGTTAAATACCATAAACTCACGCTACTTTAGAGGATCTAACAGTAGCCTAATTTAGTTAAATACTATAAACTCACGCTACTTTAGAGGGTCTAACAGTAGCCTAATTTAGTTAAATACTATAAACTCACGCTACTTTAGAGGGTCTAACAGTAGCCTGATTTAGTTAAATACTATAAACTCACGCTACTTTAGAGGGTCTAACAGTAGCCTAATTTAGTTAAATACCATAAACTCACGCTACTTTAGAGGGTCTAACAGTAGCCTAATTTAGTTAAATACTATAAACTCACGCTACTTAAGAGGGTCTAACAGTAGCCTGATTTAGTTAAATACTATAAACTCACGCTACTTTAGAGGGTCTAACAGTAGCCTAATTTAGTTAAATACTATAAACTCACGCTACTTTAGAGGGTCTAACAGTAGCCTGATTTAGTTAAATACTATAAACTCACGCTACTTTAGAGGGTCTAACAGTAGCCTAATTTAGTTAAATACCATAAACTCACGCTACTTTAGAGGATCTAACAGTAGCCTAATTTAGTTAAATACTATAAACTCACGCTACTTTAGAGGGTCTAACAGTAGCCTAATTTAGTTAAATACTGTAAACTCACGCTACTTAAGAGGGTCTAACAGTAGCCTAATTTAGTTAAATACTATAAACTCACGCTACTTTAGAGGATCTAACAGTATAAGTAGCCTAATTTAGTTAAATACTATAAACTCACGCTACTTTAGAGGGTCTAACAGTAGCCTAATTTAGTTAAATACTATAAACTCACGCTACTTTAGAGGGTCTAACAGTAGCCTAATTTAGTTAAATACTATAAACTCACGCTACTTTAGAGGGTCTAACAGTAGCCTAATTTAGTTAAATACTATAAACTCACGCTACTTTAGAGGGTCTAACAGTAGCCTAATTTAGTTAAATACTATAAACACACGTTACTTTAGAGGGTCTTACAGTAGCCTAATTTAGTTAAATACTATAAACTCACGCTACTTTAGAGGGTCTAACAGTAGCCTAATTTAGTTAAATACTATAAACTCACGCTACTTTAGAGGGTCTAACAGTAGCCTAATTTAGTTAAATACTATAAACTCACGCTACTTAAGAGGGTCTAACAGTAGCCTAATTTAGTTAAATACTATAAACTCACGCTACTTTAGAGGGTCTAACAGTAGCCTAATTTAGTTAAATACTATAAACTCACGCTACTTTAGAGGGTCTAACAGTAGCCTAATTTAGTTAAATACTATAAACTCACGCTACTTTAAAGGGTCTAACAGTAGCCTAATTTATTTAAATACCATAAACTCACGCTACTTTAGAGGGTCTAACAGTAGCCTAATTTAGTTAAATACCATAAACTCACGCTACTTTAGAGGGTTTAACAGTAGCCTAATTTATTTAAATACTATAAACTCACGCTACTTTAAAGGGTCTAACAGTAGCCTAATTTATTTAAATACTATAAACTCACGCTACTTTAGAGGGTCTAACAGTAGCCTAATTTAGTTAAATACTATAAACTCACGCTACTTTACAGGGTCTAACAGTAGCCTAATTTAGATAAATACTATAAACTCACGCTACTTTAGAGGGTCTAACAGTAGCCTAATTTAGTTAAATACTATAAACTCACGCTACTTTAGAGGGTCTAACAGTAGCCTAATTTAGTTAAATACTATAAACTCACGCTACTTTAGAGGGTCTAACAGTAGCCTAATTTAGTTAAATACTATAAACACACGCTACTTTAGAGGGTCTTACAGTAGCCTAATTTAGTTAGATACTATAAACTCACGCTACTTTAGAGGGTCTAACAGTAGCCTAATTTAGTTAGATACTATAAACTCACGCTACTTTAGAGGGTCTAACAGTAGCCTAATTTAGTTAAATACTATAAACTCACGCTACTTTAGAGGGTCTAACAGTAGCCTAATTTAGTTAAATACTATAAACACACGTTACTTTAGAGGGTCTTACAGTAGCCTAATTTAGTTTTAAATACTATAAACTCACGCTACTTTAGAGGGTCTAACAGTAGCCTAATTTAGTTAAATACTATAAACTCACGCTACTTTAGAGGGTCTAACAGTAGCCTAATTTAGTTAAATACTATAAACTCACGCTACTTTAGAGGGTCTAACAGTAGCCTAATTTAGTTAAATACTATAAACTCACGCTACTTTAGAGGGTCTAACAGTAGCCTAATTTAGTTAAATACTGTAAACTCACGCTACTTTAGAGGGTCTAACAGTAGCCTAATTTAGTTAAATACTATAAACTCACGCTACTTTAAAGGGTCTAACAGTAGCCTAATTTAGTTAAATACTATAAACTCACGCTACTTTAGAGGATCTAACAGTAGCCTAATTTAGTTAAATACTATAAACTCACGCTACTTTAGAGGGTCTAACAGTAGCCTAATTTAGTTAAATACTATAAACTCACGCTACTTTAGAGGATCTAACAGTAGCATAATTTAGTTAAATACTATAAACTCAGGCTACTTCAGAGGGTCTAACAGTAGCCTAATTTAGTTAAATACTATAAACTCAGGCTACTTTAGAGGGTCTAACAGTAGCATAATTTAGTTAAATACTATAAACTCAGGCTACTTCAGAGGGTCTAACAGTAGCCTAATTTAGTTAAATACTATAAACTCAGGCTACTTTAGAGGGTCTAACAGTAGCCTAATTTAGTTAAATACTATAAACTCACGCTACTTTAGAGGGTCTAACAGTAGCCTAATTTAGTTAAATACTATAAACTCACGCTACTTTAGAGGGTCTAACAGTAGCCTAATTTAGTTAAATACTATAAACTCACGCTACTTTAGAGGGTCTAACAGTAGCCTAATTTAGTTAAATACTATAAACTCACGCTACTTTAGAGGGTCTAACAGTAGCCTAATTTAGTTAAATACTATAAACTCACGCTACTTTAGAGGATCTAACAGTAGCCTAATTTAGTTAAATACTATAAACTCACGCTACTTTAGAGGGTCTAACAGTAGCCTAATTTAGTTAAATACTATAAACTCACGCTACTTTAGAGGATCTAACAGTATAAGTAGCCTAATTTAGTTAAATACTATAAACTCACGCTACTTTAGAGGATCTAACAGTAGCCTAATTTAGTTAAATACTATAAACTCACGCTACTTTAGAGGGTCTAACAGTAGCCTAATTTAGTTAAATACTATAAACTCACGCTACTTTAGAGGGTCTAACAGTAGCCTAATTTAGTTAAATACTATAAACTCACGCTACTTTAGAGGGTCTAACAGTAGCCTAATTTAGTTAAATACTATAAACTCAGGCTACTTTAGAGGATCTAACAGTAGCCTAATTTAGTTAAATACTATAAACTCACGCTACTTTAGAGGATCTAACAGTAGCCTAATTTAGTTAAATACTATAAACTCACGCTACTTTAGAGGGTCTAACAGTAGCCTAATTTAGTTAAATACTATAAACTCACGCTACTTTAGAGGGTCTAACAGTAGCCTAATTTAGTTAAATACTATAAACTCACGCTACTTTAGAGGATCTAACAGTAGCCTAATTTAGTTAAATACTATAAACTCACGCTACTTTAGAGGATCTAACAGTAGCCTAATTTAGTTAAATACTATAAACTCACGCTACTTTAGAGGGTCTAACAGTAGCCTAATTTAGTTAAATACTATAAACTCACGCTACTTTAGAGGATCTAACAGTAGCCTAATTTAGTTAAATACTATAAACTCACGCTACTTTAGAGGGTCTAACAGTAGCCTAATTTAGTTAAATACTATAAACTCACGCTACTTTAGAGGGTCTAACAGTAGCCTAATTTAGTTAAATACTATAAACTCACGCTACTTTAGAGGGTCTAACAGTAGCCTAATTTAGTTAAATACTATAAACTCACGCTACTTTAGAGGGTCTAACAGTAGCCTAATTTAGTTAAATACTATAAACTCAGGCTACTTTAGAGGGTCTAACAGTAGCATAATTTAGTTAAATACTATAAACTCAGGCTACTTTAGAGGGTCTAACAGTAGCCTAATTTAGTTAAATACTATAAACTCACGCTACTTTAGAGGGTCTTACAGCCCAGTTCCACGGCTCAGTTTTGCGACCAGATTTGACACAAAACTCCGCGAAAAGAGTTTTGAAAGGCAAAACTCCGCGAAGGCAGTTTTGTTTACAATGTACGTTCCCACGGTTGGTATTTTTGCACGCAGATTTGCGCGCGCACGTGGGCGCATTATAATGAAATATCCCACGCGAGCGCCCAGGTTAAAACTGCTCTCACGGAGTTTTGGGTCATGATATCAAAAGTATTTCTTCGTGCGGAGAAATATTTTTGAATTTCATTTCCGGTCGCAAAAATGAGAGAAAAAATGTGAGCAAATCTGGTTGCAAAACTGAGCCGTGGAACTGCAGGGTAACAGTAGCCTAATTTAGTTAAATACTATAAACTCACGCTACTTTAGAGGGTCTAACAGTAGCCTAATTTAGTTAAATACTATAAACTCACGCTACTTTAAAGGGTCTAACAGTAGCCTAATTTAGTTAAATACTATAAACTCACGCTACTTTAGAGGGTCTAACAGTAGCCTAATTTAGTTACATACTATAAACTCACGCTACTTTAGAGGGTCTAACAGTAGCCTAATTTAGTTAAATACTATAAACTCACGCTACTTTAGAGGGTCTAACAGTAGCCTAATTTAGTTAAATACTATAAACTCACGCTACTTAAGAGGGTCTAACAGTAGCCTAATTTAGTTAAATACTATAAACTCACGCTACTTTAGAGGGTCTAACAGTAGCCTAATTTAGTTAAATACTATAAACTCACGCTACTTTAGAGGGTCTAACAGTAGCCTAATTTAGTTAAATACTATAAACTCACGCTACTTAAGAGGGTCTAACAGTAGCCTAATTTAGTTAAATACTATAAACTCACGCTACTTAAGAGGGTCTAACAGTAGCCTAATTTAGTTAAATACTATAAACTCACGCTACTTTAGAGGGTCTAACAGTAGCCTAATTTAGTTAAATACTATAAACTCACGCTACTTTAGAGGGTCTAACAGTAGCCTAATTTAGTTAAATACTATAAACTCACGCTACTTTAGAGGATCTAACAGTAGCCTAATTTAGTTAAATACTATAAACTCACGCTACTTTAGAGGGTCTAACAGTAGCCTAATTTAGTTAAATACTATAAACTCACGCTACTTTAGAGGGTCTAACAGTAGCCTAATTTAGTTAAATACTATAAACTCACGCTACTTTAGAGGGTCTAACAGTAGCCTAATTTAGTTAAATACTATAAACTCACGCTACTTAAGAGGGTCTAACAGTAGCCTAATTTAGTTAAATACTATAAACTCACGCTACTTTAGAGGGTCTAACAGTAGCCTAATTTAGTTAAATACTATAAACTCACGCTACTTTAGAGGGTCTAACAGTAGCCTAATTTAGTTAAATACTATAAACTCACGCTACTTAAGAGGGTCTAACAGTAGCCTAATTTAGTTAAATACTATAAACTCACGCTACTTAAGAGGGTCTAACAGTAGCCTAATTTAGTTAAATACTATAAACTCACGCTACTTTAGAGGGTCTAACAGTAGCCTAATTTAGTTAAATACTATAAACTCACGCTACTTTAGAGGGTCTAACAGTAGCCTAATTTAGTTAAATACTATAAACTCACGCTACTTTAGAGGATCTAACAGTAGCCTAATTTAGTTAAATACTATAAACTCACGCTACTTTAGAGGGTCTAACAGTAGCCTAATTTAGTTAAATACTATGAACTCACGCTACTTTAGAGGGTCTAACAGTAGCTCCTTCCCTCTCTGGGGTCTCTCCGCCCATATCCGGTCGAATCTTTGCTAAACCATTTACTTTTCCTAACCTTTTGGAGCATAACATTATAAAAGTAGTTCGGTAAAATAGAAGAAGATGAATTTTAAAAGATATCAACTGAGCCGCATAGCATGAGAAGAGAGTAAGATTGGTCATTTACTATGTGCAGTCAGTTTAAGTATTTGCTTTATTTGCTTTGATGTTCAGAGAGAAAACTATACGAAAAACGTTGCTAAAATTTCAAAAAGGTAAAATTTGATCCACACCATTAAAAATTATTAGAACAATCTAATAAGGTAAATCTGACAAATAGAAGATTTTACATCAATAATACTATACTACTACTATGTAGTAGTAGTAGTAGCAATAATTAGAAAAGTCATCTCAAAATCTAACGTGGAATAAAACGGCGGATTTAAACGTCTTCTGAAGCAAAACCTTCAAGATTAGGCACGTGCAATTCATCAGTAGAATCAGGTCTAGGGAGGGCACCGTTTATCTTGAACAACTGCTTTCCAGCCTTCATAATAACAACTACGTTATCTAGAAGTTCGTATCTCTTGCTGCATTTCTTCTTGTCCCCTTCTGCCGGCCAGGTTATGTGAGCCCAATGTTTCTCTTTTGCTTGAAACTCAATATTCTCACCAATGTAATCCCGCCAGATCCTAACCTGAACTCCGTATCGTAGAACAAGAACATCTATAGACTCTGAACCAATATCCACTACACTAGCAGGCTCATGCATAGCTATCTGTTCCCTCAAAAACAACCACAAGAACAGTTCCCCACTCTTATCACTAGCTAGTTTAGAAGCGTATTTCTTTTGAGATGACAGTTCTGCTAGTTCGCTCACTTCATCAAAGTCCATTGGACCAATCTTCTTCCCCTCCAAAATAGCTTGGAGCTGCCTGTGAGCAATGAGATCAGGGTAACGCCTGATGGGCGATGTGAAGTGTGTGTACAACTCCATACTCAGCCCGTAGTGGAAGTAGTCAGTAGGACTGTCGAACTCCCCAGAACTGTGGTACGTGGCTAAAGACATACACTTGGCCAACAAACTGGCTACCACCAGCCCAACTGAGGTGGGCTGGTTCGGAGCATGTTGTAGCAGGTTCAGTGCTGCTTGCATCATTTTAGAGGATGTTGTGTCCATTTCTATTCCCATTCTTTCAAGGACTTTCTTCGTTTCCTTCAGAACATTCTCTTTGGGCCCCGAGTGTCGCCTGATGATGGCATTGTCTGGATAGTGTTCTATCAGTTTCTCAGCTACACTTACATTTGCTTTTAACATGAACTCTTCAATAAGCTTGTTGCTTTCTTTTGATTTGTATGATCCTAAACCAGAAGGCATACTATTCTCCTTGTTTAGTGAGAATTTTATTTTACACTGCTGAATAGAAATGGCACCAGATTCTTTTCGCTGCTTTCTTAAAATCTTAGCAATACTGTGGAGGATATTTACTTTCTTTGATAAGTCTCTGTGTGTGAAGCTGTTGTGAATTTCGGGGAGATAACCCTCCTCAAAATCTCGATCAGGTTCTTCAATCATATCTTGAGCATGTTCATAATGCAGCTTGCAGCACGAATTTATCAAACTTTTCCCAAACTTAGTGGACAAAACAGTTCCATCTTTCTTCATTTTCCATATGACTGAAAAAGAAAACCTGTCAACTCCAGGGTTCAAACTGCACAGGAGTTCACACAGTTTCCTGGGTAACATAGGTATAACTCTCTGAACCAAATATACACTGGTTGTCCTTTCACGAGCAATATCATCAACAACAGTTCCTGGATAGACAAAGTGACTAACATCTGCAATATGAACACCTATCTCATACAAACCGTCTCCAATTTCCTCAACAGAGCAAGCATCATCTAGGTCCCTGGCAGTGGCAGGATCAATAGTGAAAACACATTTCTTTCGGAAATCAAATTCTTGTCTTTTAGCAACATCCTCAGCTGTTATTTTAAAATCAGGTATCCCAGCATCGATGTCGTCAGGAAAAGGTGAGTCATCAAGATCATTTTCAGTAAGTATTCCTTCTGTTGCAGCAACTACTAGATCATCCTTATCACCACCGATAGATTTCAACAATGATCCCATAGCAAACTTGCCGTTTAATTCCCACCGTTTGACAAGTCCTATCATAAGATTATCTGCAAAATCTTTAGGTCTTTCAGCAAATCCTTTTGGAAATTCATTTAGGGGAATCAGCATTCGTGGCACTCTGCTGTCCAGAGGACTGAATAATGCAAAGTTTTTATTATACACTTTTGCATACCCCATAGCTTTTCTTGGATGAATTTTTTCGATAATGCCAACAATTTTTGCAGTTTTTTGCAAGAACTTATCTTCCACATTCAAGGCATTGTAACTTTTCCCTTGAAAACTGATTTCATCTTGACCCATGACAGGTAAATCTGTGTCTTTAGAACTGTTTCCGATAAGATTAGTCATGAGTTCGGATTTGTTCAGCTTCCAATTCTCTCGAGGTAGTATCTCAAAAGCAACTAAATCTCCATTGAATGCTCTATTTTGATTATTGCCTTCCACAAGAAAGTCTTTTTCACTTTTCACAGGATTAGACAGAAATGCAATGCTGTGATGTTTTTGATGAATTCTAAGAGTGCTTTTAAAAAGCTCTCCAAAATTCAATTTTTCCACAATAGTTTCCAGAGGTAAGTGCTCCTGGTAAATTGGTTTTAAAGCTCTGGCTGCCATTGACAATCTGCGCAGTATCATACACCTGCAAATTATGATTTAAATTGAAGTTACGAATTCAATATATCAATTAACTAAAATTTAAAGCTAAAAATTGTTTGTTTAAAGAGCATTACATACTGCTGCAAGTTGTAAACCTTGTAGAAAAAGCAGGTAAAGTTATGATAGCTGAAATAGGTATAGTTGTAGGTATAGTTATTGGATATTACTGATATGACACACTGACATTGAGAGACTGGAAAAACGTGGGATAAGTTGTACTCTGAATTTGTTTGTTTAAGATCAAAGATCTACAAGAGACTACTTAGATGAAAATTGTTTTGGACATGTTTTTGTGTACCCACTCTTGAAATGTAAGAACTTCCTTGTTCTATGGAATTTCTTAAAACATGATTAAATGAAACACAGATTTGCTATGCTGGGGGACTACGAACCCCTTTCAGCCAGTTTTAAGTTTGTCACCCTGATACAGAGGTCCCGGCCCCGGCCAAAATCACAACCCCCGACCCTTCCTGGCCCCGGCCAAAATTTGGCAATTCGCCGGGGGTAAACCCAGGCCCAGCCCCGGCCAATAAATTTACCCCCGGCCAAAAACCATGCATTTACCGGGGGCACAGCCGGGGATTTCATGAATGATTTTGGCACATTTTTGAAAAAAATCAAACACAATTAAATGGTAATTATGAGATTTTAAAGTTGAAACAATTTATTGTCTACGTTGAGTACGTTCAAATATAGAAAATACAACATACGGCCACGGCTTAAATTAAACTACGGCTAGTAACATAAAAACCGTGGTTCTTTCTCAGTATCAGATTTTTCAATTAATCATCTCCGAGAAATTTGCGATAAAACATACGTAGAAACAAGAAAGTAAAAATACTGCACTGCAGCTAAAACTACGGCTCAACGTAAACAACAGAGCCTAACATTTTAAATAGTAAATTTTTGTGAACCGGGCCATATTTGGATGTGGGGATTACTTTTAAATCCCGATGTCCAGATAAAGTAGCAGCTGAGGGTTATCCTCAGTTCCGAGTTGAGGATTAGAAATTAAGTATGACCTGAATATTATCCTGAGTTGGTTCACAGCACGAAGTTGCGGTTTAATCCTAAAGTCGGTGAGGATAAGCCGCAATTCAGGTCACGAAATCCTCTCCGAACCTCCACGTGGTGTGGCCTGGTTGGCACTAACAGGTGGTGTGCTCTCTTGTTGAGTACAAAGGTTGGGTCTTGCCAACTCAAAGTTCCCATAGGAACCAGGAAGTCATCACTAACAGCTACCAAGCACCAGGAAATTTCTCTTTCAGATATCAGGTTAAAAGATAGTACACACACAAATAAAGACACGTTATCACAGATACATAGCTCTAAGAGCTATTAAATCACCAGGAAATTCTCTTTCAGCTTTCAGGTCCCATCGAAGTCACCCACCCCAGAGCTAGGGATTCCAATTCGCTGACTACAAGGACAAACTGATGATGAGTAGTCTTGGCACTTCTCCCTCCAGTAACCACTTTTCAGGTCTTTTCAGTTAAGACAGCTAATGCATAAGGGCTGACACAAGGTAAACACAAGCTCGTGATAAGACAGAGTTAGGGATTTCAAATCTCTTACTCTGACTACGATGACACACTGATAGCGAGAATTCTTGGCACTACTTCCTCCACTAACCACTTTTCAGGGGACCGGGTTAGCTTTGCCACACTCTTCATTGAAGTGTGACTGGACGCTCTACAATCATCTAATAGCAGCAGAGTTTGACTGACACCCTTACTGGTTCTAATCAGTTTCTACAGTGGAAGATCTCAACGCTCGTAAACAGTTCATCTCGGACATCCTGCAGAGATGCTTTATCAAAGCCTGCCCCATTACACGGGGAACCCTTAGATCTACAGTACCCTGGTGGACAGCAAAGCTCACTAAAGCATAGCGGACCTCTTTAGTTCTGAGACGCAAAGCTAACCGGACCAGGAATCAACATCAATGCAATGCTTAGGGGATGCAAATAAGACATAGTACAACGTTTAACAAATGCATTACTTTTGTTAGCTCGACGTTACATGGTAACGATACAGGACAGACAATCCTCCTTCAGGTTCATTGAGGAAATCGTACCCACTATTTGTGTTACACATGGCAAGTATCTGGACTTATGATAACTTAGAATCCCCGTCAATCATTAATTCCTCTCAGATTCCCAGGCTGCATTTAAAGCGCTTACGGTAACATCACCAGTTTTAACTCCAGGTTCGTTCTAAACATCTCAGACCAACTCAACTCATCGAGTAGAACTTCGTTCCAGGACATGAAGCCTGAAGGAGTAAACGGTAAAGAACTAGTGGACAAATTCGCAAGGACCGATCAATCCAACAACATCCCCATAGGACCAGAACCCTTCCTCCAAATTAGGCACAATTAGGAACATTCCACTTGAGATGTTCCTCCACAATTATAAATACAGGAACCATAATTTTTCTGGAACTCACATCAGATGGCTAACATGGTCGTTTTCAGGATAGGTCACAGCCCACTAATTTATTTTTGGGACGTGGCAAACAACGTCAACTTTGAGACGCAAGATTGTGTACACTTTTCAAGAGAAGCAGAAACATCCCAGCACCTCCTCTGCAAGTGCATCCAGATCATGACGTTCAGAATGAGGATAATTGGTAAACTCTACCTTAACAACAGTAAACTACAACCATATCTTTTAATATATTTATGGTATATAATTTGGGAGTCTCTCTCTCTCTCTCTCAAGCAGCAGGAGTTGGGAAATGGGGACGCATTGTGAAAGTGTGAAAACTGGCCACGGGCCTAAATATTACATATCAATCAATTACAAATCATTAACATTACCAATATTAAAAACTGTCCAAAATATCTAAGAAAGTATTCTCTAGCCAAAGGGCTCAATATTTAAATCTAAATCTTCAATATTGTCTGGTTTATGTCACAACTTGTGAAAGCCACCGTAAGGAAGGCTTACTGTCGACGCCAACCAATCAGCAGAAGAACTTATTACACACTAAAATTTAGATCATATCACTCTGCAATCAGACATAGATGCTCTACACCAATGGTCACTTGCCAACTAGATGAAATTTCACCCCACGGATGTAAAGAAGTACCTAACGGACCCCTGAAAAGGTCTTGGTGACCGACAAAATGGTGCCTGCACTGTTAGAAAAACATATTTCTAAAGATTTGGGGAACCTGACTTGAATATGTCAAAGAAGAAAAGGACCTGGGGTAAATGTAACGTTCAATTTCTGCAGGGATCACCAAATTGAGGATCTACTCAATAAGGCTAGTTTTAGACTCGGGTAAATAACCGAATAAAAACACTTATTTCATTACTGGGCGGCGCTCATCCTGTCATTCCGCCGAATCTTCTAATTTTTACGTTATAACTTCGCAATAACTTTAAAAGCAAAACTAACTCGCATCCCATTACCTGGGGACCCCAGGCTATTATGTTCATAAACGAATAAAGATTCAGCGGAATGACTTAATTCACGATGTCAATCCTTCGCATCTCGCCGATCTGGTTGCGAGAAGATGCGCGGCGCGGCCCAAAAGTGCATCGCGCTACAAAAACCAGGTTTTCAAACACTGCCATTTGTAGTCAACCGTCGCCAACAGTTGCTCTCGTCCATTGAAATCACTGCATTATCTAAGCCAAGCTTTGCATACAAATATATGTAATTCAATTATGCATAATGACTTGCAAAATGCAGCGATTTCATTGGACGATAGCAACTGTTGGCGACGTTTGAATACAAATGGTAGCGTTTCATCGAAAACCGAACCTAGTTTCAGCCCCCCCCCCCCCCCCCCCCCCCGTGCAATGCCAATAACGGAGTTATTTCAAAACCGCACGCTCGGCGCTCGCGCTCATGATTTGTGATTGAGCGCGCGCCTTTGCGAACATCGGTTGGATTTACAATCCAATAATTTGATTTTACAATCTAACTTAGCGCGCGGCTCTTGTAGCGTATACGTCACTTCGGTTGTCGTTACAATTGGTAGTTAGCAACTAGCGTGCACGTGCGCACGTAATAATATTTTCCGAGGCTGCAATTGATTATAAACAATTACGTGAATGCTGGTCACGCGCGCATTCACTAACTTCCAATGAGCATCCAAACTTTTTTAGTGCGATGGAGGTCGTAATCCATTGTATCACGTGGTGACCTTCACATAGCATTAGCCATGTGTCTACGCGTACTGTTGCTCCATGCTCTATCCAGAGCCCTTGCGCTTGCAGTAGCGCGCGCCCGCCTCACGGCGGTCTCGAACTTCCTATTCACCTAACCATGTGCTTTCGCGCCACTGCGGGCGCGCTTGTTTCACAAGTCAAGGCGGGCGCGCGCTACTGCAAGCGCAAGGGCTCTGGATAGAGCAAAACTTCCTACTCTCCCTCCTCTCGTCAGCTAGACAGTGTCCTATTATTTCTCTTGTGTTAATTTTGTGATAAATTCTTTCATGAGACCATCTGAGTTTTTGTCTTTCTTAGTAGTAGACGCCACCGAGAATGAAAACTATTTAGTAGCGGGGTAATGAATTTTTGTCTCATATAAATATAAGTAACATAGTAGTAGATATTTGTTTATTGATATAATTTGATCGTGAATTTTGATTGTTTGTATTATTATACCACAATCCTTTTATTTTATTCGTTTAATAGTGAAAACCACAAAATTAAAATGAACATGAGGCATTTATCATAGCCTCCGATTAAAGTATTCGATCATCACACCACGTACGTCACCTGAGCTATAGGGCCTGTCGTGATATTTGAATCGCTTATGTAGACCTCATAATTATGCGGCCTCTATATCTATGTATGTATGTATATCGTCATCTCGCACACCTCTTTACGAATCTTCTGAATTTGGCATGTACAAATTTGTAGCCTTCCAGACATTGATAGCGTAAACGAGGTGTCGTACGTCACCTCAAGATCGGGTGACAAGGGGCTGACCATACCCGAACCTAATTGATTGGGTCTGAGGTCACGTGAC